CTAAATCTGGCCCTGTACGCAGCATAAGCAAAGTTAGTAAAAGTACAAAATATTAAATAAATAAAATATTAAAACGGAAATCCACATGACATATTATAAGCAGCAGCAAGGATATAGCATACCACCAACAGGCAGCAAAATTGTCACCACCCATTAAATGGCTGGGAGAAGAAATAACATCCTTCGGGTGCCTCACAGGGGCCTTCAGGGGCAGCAGGAAGAGGTGAAGGTCTAAGGATAGGTTCATATCAAGAGAGGTGCTATAAAATATATTAACCCCCACCCCTAAATAAACAAACCAAAGTTATGAATTGCGGGGGGCGCACACTTCCCATAATACACTTTCTGTATGTGATGGAGCAGGCTCAGGTCCACAAAAGGGCACACCTAGCCACAGTAAGCCATGATCTGGTTGTGTCCAGACGAGTCTTCAGTAATGCACCCTACATGCCTCTACAGACAGCCTGGAAACTGGTTCAAAATGCAGCTGCCAGAGTCCTGATGAGTATACAGTTGTCAGCTTCTAAAACAGAGCTTGCTTAACAGATTCTGTGAAAGGATTCTGTGGAACTGTAACAACCTTTCATGCATGAACTGATTAGAGAATGATCTGATCCACTGGGTCTGAGCTGAACTTTATGAGTTACTTCCGTTGAAATTTATGATTTGATACATGAATAGTACACCTTATTTATCTAAGAACACAGCCGGTTACGTCTCGTGTGCTTATTGAGTGTGTCATTTTAGGCAGCTTAAGCTTGCAATGGGGACTTCCAATTCATTTGGAAGATTGTATAAGAGTGCCACCTTGTGAATGATACAGTGCATTTTACTTTTAGATCAACTGAACTAATACAGACATTTTTAAATTTAGCAACTAGTGTGCTACCCAAACTGCAGCTGTTATATGTGTGGCTGTTCCATATAGCTAATGAATTGAATGGTTTTGTATGAATATTTTATTATAATGTATGTTTTAAAATATAATGTATGCTTTAAAATATGCTGTAAGTCACTGCAATACTTCTGTGTAACATAAACATCCAATTATTATTATTTTTTAAAAAAATGCTGCTTAAGACCAGAATTAAGGCTCTCTTGAATTTGTTCATGCACCACAAAGCTTTTGTAAATTATGCTTTCTTATAACTTTCTTATGTACCTACGCTTTCAGGCACATATCTAGATGGATATCACATCATATTGGTCCTTTATTGCCTTATGAAGCATCTGAGTCTTACTGCATGACTAGAGTAAATTTTCCTGCAGGTTGATCAGTATCTGTTGCTTACATCAGTAGCTGGCAGAATGAGTTTAAACAGCAGAAATGAGTTTATTCCCCTTTTGATTTTTAATTGTACAAAAGATAGGAAATAACGTCCATGTTTATGATGCATAACATTCCCCCATTCTTTTCTTCCCCTGTTTGTGAAATCAAATTACAGCTAGTGTTTCTTGCTGCATTTTTCAGTCCAGCTTGCTGTATTCTTGAGCTATATATTTATTTATATTTTGCCCTTGGGTCAAATTTGCCTTCATTTATACTTTAAAAAGTGCTGTAGAAAGGAATTAAATTAAGTGTCATAGACTTCAGCAAGGCTAGGGTTTCACCCAGTGACCTATTCTATGCTTACTTTATAACTACAATTTGTTTTCAAATTGGTACCAGTTCCAGGAGTTTCAGAATTCTTTCACTCATTATTCTCTTTGCATCACTGCCTGTGACCTGTGCTCCTCCAACGCCTATCACCCTGTGTGAAGGAAGAGCTTCTCATTCCAAAGACACTGCCTGTTTCCATGTTCTTCCCTCCGTTTCCTCACTATGCTGTCACCTGCCTATGCTGCCTATGTAATGGCATTATGAACACTGATGACATGGCAGAAACATCAAGAGCATTAAGCGTACACACACACACACACACACACACACACACACGAGGTTAAATTAGTTTATTAATTTAAATCAGCAGGAAATATTTCCACATACGGTACATCTGTGAACAGAAAAGCTTGGAAGTACAAAAATTATGAACAGGTAAAAAAATCTAGTAGTGACTGACAAGTTTTCTAGCATCTCATATTAAAAAAGTGTTAGTAATGCAAGATTTTGGCCCGCTGTAGTTTATTATCAAGCTACAGTGCACTGTTTTAAGAGATGGAAAGACGAGACAACTCCTGCCTTCAGGCTCACAATCTAATAGACATGATACAAAAGGAACGGAGCAGGGAATGGGGAAGCCAGCAAGTTTCAAGCAGCAGTTCTTAAAATGACATCATCTCAGCAGGACCATCTGATCTGGACAGGTGGGGTTCCCTGTATTTGGCATGCATGCACAACCCAGTAGCCCTTAGCTAGTCTCCTGGTGGACAGCAGAGGCCAGATTGTGCTTTCCTTCAACTATGCATCCCCAGAGCAACAGATTATAATTGGTCTGAAAGTTAGAGGTGTATCAGGATTTTTTTTAAAAGATACAGTGATACCTAGGTTTAAGAACAGTCCTATTTACAAACGATTCAGTTTACGAACTCCACAAAACCAGAAGTCGTGTTCCGGTTTATGAACTTTACCTTGGTCTACAAACAGAAACCGGAAACCGAACAGTGGAAGGGCACCAGCGGTGGGAGGCCTCATTAGGGAAAGTGCACCTCGGTTTAAGAACGGATTCGGTTTAAGAACGGACTTCAGGAATGGATTAAGTTTGTAAACTGAGGTACCACAGTATTCAGTAAGCTAAGCAACTGTACCAATTTACAGAGTTTTAGAAGCTCAGCTTGTATTACCAAAATATACAGTTCACACATTGTTGGCTAATCCTCTTTCCTAACCTCTTAATGATTTGCTTGGTGCCTTTCAGTGGGGTCGCCTTCCTCTGCAATACTTAAGGAAGATTATTACTACAAATCCATCAGTTTAACCCTCCATTAACAACAACAAAAAAGGCAAAACATACAGTGCAGTTCTCACCAGCAAACCAACACATTGCAGGATTGTTGTGGTTTCAACAATTACTACTTGGGGGTTATCAGATTATTAACAAGATGGCTCCTTTCCCTGATCTCATATCTTTAAGTGTTCCAGTTTAACACAATCCTGCATTTCCCCCCATTAACCCAAACTGAGCAAAAGTTTAGTGGAATAATTTGTGGCTCAGCAGAAAGCCTGTATAGACGTAGGCTATATGGCCATCAGGCTGACATGACACACCTATTTCGGTTGAGCTCTCTTCTAGCTAATCTGATGGCCACTTTGCCAAAAATGAGGAAATGCACCTCCCAAAATAAAAAGGCAAGAGATTTGAATGAAATTTGCACATGCTAACATATGTACAGATGCATATTTAGAAATAATGTAATAGAAATAAAACACATTTCACCACTGTGGGGAAGACTCTGTCCCAAGTGTTCTGTGTTTCTGGCTGCTCAGTCTGATACTGTCCAGGTGCAGTCAACTCCAAGGCCCCTTCTCTCCCTTATTGTTAATCATCTTCAAAACTAAACAGCCCTTCACATAGAGGACTGTCCTCTATAAAGAAGGACACAAGGACACCCTAGTATCAAAACAAATCAGACACCTCCTTACTCTCAAGCCGTGGCAGACTATGTTAGGACTCTTGTCCTGACGTGCTACATTTTTATGCTCAGGGGGCTGCACAGACACACAAAAGTCCAGCGTGTCAGGATTAGTTTTCTTTTTAATTTCAATCATTCAACACCCCCACCCTGCATTGTTAGCAAAAGATTGATATTAATGCAAAGTACTCAGCTTGCAAGGAAGATTTGCCCATGGATAGGAGTCCATGGAAGACAGAAATAGTACCCAATTGCTTAAAGCACTTCCCCTATAACACACTACTCAGGCCCAACATTTTCTTATTGGCAAAAGATATTAAGGCTGCTTACTAGGTTATGAACACCTGTAGTGTGCTTATCTGAGGGTCTAACGCAGTGAGTGAGGCTTGCTTCTCTGAAACGTACTTCAAATTGTACGTAATCATAAGAATGCGATAACAGTACAATATTTAGACAAGTTTAAATCAGTTAATAGAATTGCAAATTCTATGGTTCCAATTTCATTCTTCTATAGGGAAGATGTACTTCAATACAACAATCCATTAATAACATATTTTACTAAAGATGAATGCAATAAGCACTTAAAAGAATATTTGAAAGCTGTGATGATTCTCCATTTTGAAGATACTATTTTTTCATTGGGAAGCTTTAGTACAACAGCATGGCTCCTGAATGGCTCCATGAGACTCAAATACAATGTGGCATAATAGAAACTGAGATAATAATCCTTAACAAGAATAAGTATCTAAACATTTAAAGTTGGTAGTAACAAGAAGTTAATATTTTGTCTTGTGTGTGTGTGTATACGTATACGTGTGTATACAATAAAAAAATAAACAAATCAAGTCATTTAGAGCAGCCTTCCCCAACCACCAAATGTTTTGGACTACAACCCCAAATGTCTTTGACCCACTGGCCATGCTGGTTGGAGTGGATGAGAGCTGCAGTCAAAAACATACAGAGTGCTCCAGATTAGGGAAGGCTGATTTCAATTTTAGAATCATTATGCACATATTCTATATTCCATCCCAATTTTAGTAGGCAGATTAACTTCTGTAATCTTACATGGGTGGAATCCAGTGTTGAGTTAGTGGAATTCTGCTTGCCCAATGGAACTTCCCCTTCCCCTCCTCCCTTCCTGTACACTTCCAAAGTGAGGTTCTGTTGCACGTGTGAAAATCACTCATGCACTGACAGTGTCGGGTACAATCCATGGCAATTTAGATGGGGGAAATTTCTACATGGGGATCCTTCCTCCTTAGTATTATGTATTGAGATGCCTTCTTCTCTGCATAGCCAAATTTATTAATTAGTGTTTGTATATTTATATTAAACCACTGTGTCAATGAGGTTGGTTGCATTTCCCAGACTTCAGTTTAATTTAAGTCTGACCATGTGGATGCACATTCATAATAATACCTCGCCACAGAAAACAACACACTTCACCTTTATTTTCAAATTTGGAGAATTCTTATAGGCATCAAGAGTATGGCTGAAAATAAATGCAAATGCTTTACACATACCCTGACAATGTGCTAACACTGTGATTTCGAGGAAAAACATAGTCAGACTTGTTAAAATTCACTTTTCAAAGTAACCAAGAGCATTCTATGTTGTAGTTGTGTACAGTGGTTTCTGTGAAATGTAAAACATCCCCTTCAGAAGATGGAATTAATCCACCCATTCCTAAATATGAAGAAGGGGGGAAAGCCTATCAGGAAAAAAGGTTGTGGAACAGAACCAGCCCAAGTTGAATTTCAAGTAGGTCCCAGAGAGGTAGGAGACTCTAGATAACATTTTAGGCAGTCTTGACAGACATCAAGGAACAAACTTTTTAAAAATAAATATGTAAAAATACGATTAAGCCTCTGGGTATAGCTCAACACAGCAGAATATCATAGATGCTTTACATTATCTAAAATTACCAACATCGCAACCTCTTTCTAGAGTACAGTTACCACATTAAACAGGGAGGTTAAACCTCTTGGCTGTCAGGAACTGCTGGAATCTCATGTGGTAAATCACTGAACTGCAGCTAGCAGCCTTCTCAGTGAAGAAGCTTCTGGACTGACTCCACCCACCAAGGCTGGTCAGTGGATCCAGAATATAAAAGGTGGGCCCTTCCTTGCACTACAAGACATTTCTAAGCCATGGTGTGTGCTTGTCCTCTGGCCCCAACTTGTTCATCAGTTGCTACACCTAGCTTGTCCCTCAATCCTGCCTTGCTTATCAGTTCTGACAACTGGTCCCTCCCATGGCTCTTGATTCTTGGCTCCCAAATAATCTCAAGAGTGCTGTCAGTTGCCCAGAGCCAACTCTGACATATATTACATATATTTTACTTCCACCTCTTCTACTTTGGCACAAGTTTCCCATTCTAATACTACCAGAATCCAACACGCAAAATTCTAACATCACGGAAGTGGGTCCGTTGGAAGATCTTTCAAGATAATGCCTTGTCAAACCTTGAATATGGGAACAATCCAAACAATGTACATGGGCAATTAATAGAGCAGCAGAAAAACGATCTAGCTTACAATACATGCAGTATATGCCTTCATTCTAGTAAGAAACACCATCTTGAGATGCAACAGGATTACTTCAACCAAGACAGATGAACTGCTGTCCAAGTTAGCATTTTATTGTTTATTTTTTATTGTAAAGGAGAAAGACACAGGAATTGGAATATTTTTGTGGTGATTGATTAGTCCTCAGAAGGCCAAATGGCAAGAATGTTATTTTTCTTTTCTTTTCTTTTTAAAAAGCAATCCCTATTAATTGCTATTAACACCTATTGCAGAAGTATAGTAACAAAATGTTTTGCACTGAGGTTCAGTTCACTGAGCACTGTATATTATAGAAAGCACATGCTTATTTTTACTGCATTCTATCTATTCTCTTTGCCAGTAAAGCCATTAAGGTGATCCAAGAAGTCAAACAGAGAGTTTCTTCCAATAGCATTCTCAGCAGTCTCACAAGATACAGCTGTTGCTGAACAAAAACATTTCAGAATGGAGGTGGCAGAAAACTGATATCTGAACGCTCCCCACAGCAAAACACTTGCATTTTTTATTTATTTTTTACAATGCACTTGCCCGGAAGTAGGTTCTAATCTTGCCTAATATGCTAATGTTGAAACTGTATTAAGTGTTTTTTTAAGCAACCAAACCAAACCAAACCAAACCAAACCAAACCAAACCAAACCAAACCAAACCAAACCACATGAGCACATATTTTTGCTGCCCCTTAGAGATACTGGCCAGCTGCAGATATTTCACGTGAGTATGCTGATCATGCACACTGTCTCAGAGAACAGATACAACCTTGTGCTTCAGTATGAATCCTGTATTTCCACTAATATATCTTTATTTTAAAAGTCAGGGAACAAAATTAAATTTCACGGCAAATTGGGAGTAATGTTTACAGCAGGATGTAGCAGCTGAAGGTCAAGAACAGCAGTTTCTGGTGAAAAGCACGTTTCCATTTTTAAAACAATGTATAACTGGGCAATTTCTCCCCACCCCCCGTCCCAATCATTCATCTTATTTTAAAAGTTTTCAATTTAGTTACAAGTTTCTTTAAAGAATGTTCACAACAGAAAAATGTAAGGGGGGGGGGCGCATGCAAAGCTGAGAGGTGCAACGTATTTCACAGTGCATTTTCTTAATGTGTTTCAGGTTAAAAATTGAACCTTTTCAGTGCTGCCATGGTTGCCTGAGCAACAGAACAATAAACTACTATAATATCTGCCACTGGACATCTCAGTTTAGAAAGATGGATGAAAGTTGTGCTATAAGCAAATGTCAGACAGCACCGTCTTCATTAGCCATATTTTTGTGGCAAGGGATCCCACTATATATCATGAGTTTGTTTCTTATATTTTATTATTGCTTATGCTTTTTTCAAGTATTTATATTTACAGTGTCCAAACCACCAATTCAAAATGAAATCATTATTTAATAGGCACTGAAGTGAAATACTGCCGAGTGAAAATCTCCAGATAAATTTGCCATTAAAAGGAAAACTTATAATGATGCTCAGATAATCTGCCAGCATGTTCCCCTGCTTCAGTATCAGCAAAGGGCTTATATACATGCTTCAAGGGTTTTAGATATTCTTCACATAGACAATAGCTGACAGCTTACCATGTGATGAAAAGATTCTATACACATGTGCGCACACACAACCAGTGTGTGTGTGAGTGTGACTTTAAATAAAAAAGGGCTTGCTTTTGAATGTTACTTATGAACCAGAAAAATCAAATCGGAAGCAGGGGAGCAGAATAATTTACTTCCCTCTAAACAGAAAACAAGTTTTCTCTGACATGTGCCTTTCTGGTTTAAGAATAAAAGGCAAAACTGTTCGATGGATTGGGTTTCAGAATGGCTTAACAGCTGTGTGTGACCAACATTTTGAGACATAATTTTCCCCACTTTGTAGAAAACTCCCATCGCACATGATATCCAGATCCATCATAGGAAAAACTATGGAAGGTAAAGAGTCTTGTCCAAATGTATTTAGGGAACAGTATGGACATGAAATGGAAACCTTTGCAAAGCAGAGTTACTGACTTGGCATCACTGGTGGAACAGATTTAGTACCTGTGCACTAAAAGCACTGTAAGCTTGTACAAAAAGCATCCATGAGGGGATCGAAATGTGATGTGCAATGGAACCAGAAGAGTAAAATGTGAAGAGGAAAGCATACAGGCCACCAGTCTATATAACAAAAGCTGCTATTTTCCACATCCTTGCTTGGACATCAAAAATCCCATGTGGGTGATCAACCAAGCACATGGAAGATTTTAATAAGAGAATGGTAATCACTGGGATGAGGGGGAAGAGATTGTGCTGTCTTTATCAGAATTAAAGCGTTTCCTAGCTTCTGTAGTACTGGATCATTAAGTATAGAGGAAATTGAAAATCAAATAGTAGAAACACTTTACTAATTTAATAAATCTCAAGTTTGACTCTCAACTGGAAACCTATGCAAAACTTATGAGTTTTGTTTTCACTGCTTTTGGACAGATTCCTCCCTCTCTCTACAAGTCAAAAGACTTGAGTATGGACACAGCCTATTCATATAAGTATTTCAGCCTGCAGAAGCCTTTGGGGAGGGGGAAGACTGGCCTAAATGGGTTGTAGGAATGCTGCTGCCACATACTGATTTCAACACAAGCTGTCCTTAAGCTTGCAAGTACAAAGATATGTACATGGGCATAAGTTGGCATGGCCGTAGATATTTCTGCACAGGTCCTAGAGCCTTACTCTTGCCACAGAGATATTAAAATGTTCATATTCATCATCTGGCCCACCTCCTAGCTCACTGTCCATTCATGAAAAAACACACCCCTTTGCCTTTCACAGCTGAGGCCACAGCCAAATGAGCCACTTTTCAACTAAAGATTCACCTTACATTGCATTGTTTTCATTTCAATTGCTAGGCATTAGAGACATACCCAAAAGGTGTAAAGAGAGGCACTTGCCCCTACAGCCCATCTGCTTTGCAGGATGCATGTACAAAGGCTTGAAGAACCCATTCAAAAATTAGCTATGCATGGATTCAGAACACAGGATGCTAATGTGGGTGGCAAAGTCAAATATTTTCAAATGCCATTAAGTGGAAAAAATCTTGAAAGGACAGCTGAAAGGAAATTGAGTAGTTGTGTTGTATTCCCGTGGAATGAATCTTTTTCTATGTCAAGAACTTGCATCACACTTCTGAATGGCATCCTTGTATATTCGGAGGTAGTCTTGTTTTATACTAAGGCTGCACAATAGGTTTTGGTTTCAATGTTTTTCCCTACTTCATTTCTCCTGAGAGTTACAAAGAGAGATCCATTGAAAGTGCAAGATACTCTCCTTGGTCTGAAGGGGTGAGGGGATTATATTTAGTCTGTATTGCTAACCTCATTTTCCACTGTCCACTGATGAAGCTTCACAATCAACCTACTGATTTTTTTAAAAAAAATAGAATGGGGATAATAAGAAAAACAGACATAAATAAAGCTTTTGGTTCATCATTATGATTTGGTATCCAAAGTTTGAATAATGGCTTACCAAACACATGCAAACATTTTTTGTTTTTTTCTTAGAGTGGGGTGGGGATGGGAATAGAGAAGCCAATCTTTTTCGAACTATGGAATAAGTATTTAGCATTTTAAAAAATGTACTTATTGGCTGAGCTGCATGATTGTCAACTAGAAAAGCAGAGTAGCACTTGGAGTGATTATACAGTATATGTATTTGGTTCAAAAAATTGTTAGAAAAAAAGCTTAGAAATTATGAGGCAGCAGAATTGGAGAACATCTTCTGGTGAAACATGTGCTTAAGTTTGCAAGGAGTGAAGCCTGGACTTCTACCTTTGGTTGGAACAGCCTGTCCATAGTACTGCTAAGCAAAGTGCAAGTATTCCTTGAGCTTGGACTGAATTCTTCATTTCCATCGATGCCGTACTAAGGACGATTCATCATTTACAATGTCATTGTCAGAATAATGACGACGACAGCGAGCAGGCAGGAGCAGTAAGACAATGAGCACCAGAAGGACAAGTCCGCAGAAGCTCATCAGTGCATAGGACACAATCCACAACAACGGTTCATGGAAGGGTATTGTGGACACACAGGTGCTTGCTACATCCGTAGTTTCAAAAGGACCTTCAATCCCAGATACTGGAGAACCTCCAATTTCTAAAAGAGAACAAAGGAATGAGAGAGACACAAATGTTTAAAAGGTTTACAGCTTTAAACTGTTATATGCATGTAAATATTTAGGGCTGGGTACACTAAACCATAGTTTGGAACTGCAAGAGTGAGTCTAGACAATTCTCAGACTTGCAAGTTCTGAAGCATTCACTTCCATTTTAGATTAAACACAGCTTGCTGTATTTTCTGTTCATTGAAATAAGCTAACTTCAAACCATGGCTATGCTTCGATGATCATCTCTCTGCTTAATAAGCAAAGATGTGAAAAAGCTGTGTTACTGTACAAGCAGCCACTCACCCCTTCCTTTGTGAGGTGCAGCCATGAAGTCTCAGTTTGCTATTGTTTTTCTGTTAGTTTCTTGGTTCATATGTATCAATATTAAGCCAATTTAAAACCATTTAAGATCCTGGATGGTTTGGGATAAACCAAAAACCATCATTTCCCAGTTCAGGAAACCACAATTCAGACTTCATGGGTTGTTTTCTGGATCATGGGATGTAGCTGAGTATAGGTGCATGAAGCTCGTTCACATCTCATTTTATTATGCCAAGCTATTGCTGTTTTGAGACAATCACAGTTTCCAGTTTGGCTTCTTTCAACAAACCATAGGTAAGATTAAACACAGTTTAATGTTCAAATGCAATGCTAGAATTTAGTTAATCTAAAGTGGAATTCGAAGCTTCTGATCTCCTTGTGGTTGTGCCAGAGGCAGTTGGAGGCAGGAGTGCATAACCCCAACACTATCTGCAGCTGATCTTCGTAACACTAAACCAGGGGTCTGCAACCCGTGGCTCCGGAGCCGCATGTGGCTCTTTTACACCTTTGCCGCGGCTCCGGGGTGGATACTAGCGAGGGGAGGAGGTGCGTTGTGCGCCCCGACACTCCCCACTGTGGTGGCCACTGTACTGGCTGTGACGTCGCATGGGGGCGGTGCGTGCGTTAGTCACGCACCGTCCCGACATCACTTTCCCGCCCGCCCGCTACATTGTAAGGGACATGTACGCTGGTCACTGCATTGAAAGGGGGCATGTACGCTGGTCACTGTTTTGAAGGGGAGTGAAGAACACACACACACACAAAAAGGTAACTTGTTAATTTAACGTTTCTTTCTATGAGGAGGAGTAATTCTGAGGGGTCAAACAAAGAAATAATAAAAAAGTGACAAAAAAGTTATTTTTATAATGACGAGTTTTCTGGCTACCAGTTTTTTTTTCTTTGGAAACGGGTCCAAGTGGCTCTTTTTGTCTTAAAGGTTGCAGACCCCTGCACTAAACCATGGTTTAATATGGAGAGAGCAATCCAAACCTGCCCTTGTACTGGGCTGTAGGCTTGTTTTTAATTGACCAGAGGTGTTCCTCTACTTAGCTCACCCAGTTGAGCCAGCCTCCCAGCAACCACCCACAAGTGGGAGGCCTGTTGATGGTACTCCTATCAGCAGAAAGCCCCACGGTGGGACATTCCAAGGATGGGCAAGGTGTGGGAAAAAGCCAACCTGGGATCCGCTGGACCCAATCGCTGTGCCATTCTGAACTGAACCAGATCACTGTGCTAGCCTGGAGCTGATGAAGGGATCAGACCCACCCAATTACGTCCCCTCCCCCGATCTTCCACAGCTGCTGTTATGAGCAGGCAATAATCTGTGGACTCTTCTGCTGCCCCACAAAGCCCCGTGAGTGGGTAGGTTTAGGACTACATATGGTGATAACACTTAAAGTTCTCCATTAAATCCAAGCTAAAGGAAGTGTGCATATTGAAGAACAACCAGATAAATATATAAAGAAAATCCAGCTACACATTAAATTAAGCTTTTCACTGTCCCATTTGGTCATACTACTCTCACATGAAAGTCACACGGAATACACAATTTCATCTTAAAATAAAGTCAAAGTGAACATTCTGTTCTCCTTCTAGCAAAATGAATGATTTCAGGTCCCTGTTAACTCTCCTGTTCTTGTACATCACAAGGTTTATATTCTATCTATTGGTTTCCCAACCTCTCCCCTGCCTAGTAATTTATCTGAAATGGGAAGATATTACAGACAGTTTAAGACTATCAAGTAATCTTATTAGAGCTGCAATAAGAGTATTGATAAAACTCTATATTCAAGTACTTCCAACATACATTTGGGCTTTTCATTTCCAAAAAGCATCTTATTTCAAAAGGGCATTCACATTGATTTATATTTGCTTTACTGAGAAATGTAACAGCATATTTGCTTTTTTCAGAAATGTAACAGCAAAATTGCTTCTCAGACTGTATGTCAAAAATTAATATTCCTTTCCAGAACAAGCCTGCACTAATCTGAGACCATCATGCCCGTGTGTGTGATTCAGGTTCAGGTATAACCAAGAGGCCTAAGCTGGAATTCAAATAATTATTTTGGGGCTGAAGCCCAACAGGATTCCCACCCCCTTCTGAACAAGAAAGCTCCCTGCACAATGCTGAATTGCATTTGACAATTCCCTCAGTTTCCAAAGCAATTTGTAACAGGGAATAGGAATTGAAGAAATGCGAGTCCATAGTTCCCTTGGGCACATAGAACTAGTTGCGTGGTTTTCGGATACCAGCCCAGCTCACTTCTGAAGCTCCTTGGTGGCTTTTGGCAAATAATCTGAATGCCTATCCTACTTTACAAGATGGTTGTGAAGATTAAAACTGCAACCCACACAACAGCACTAAAAAATAATTTGCAGATTTGCAAACAACGTTTGAAGTATTCGGACAAGGTTCCTTTATGTGATTTTTTAAAAGCAGATTGTTAAGCTTATATTGTGAACCACCCTGAGATCTTTTGAGGAAGGGTGGTACACAAATCCAATAAATGAAAAAATAAAATAAAAATAAAAAATGTCAGGTGCTACCTTAAATTGTTAAGTATATGCTATTCAGAAGTGGTCTCTTACCAGCACAAGTACTTAATGCAAAGCCCACTCTCTTTTGAGCTCTATCAAAGATGACATAGAATCCTTCCATCACTGTCGCGCCAATGACCAGGGCATTGGGAGAAGAGGAGATGCCAAAACGATAACAGCATAAATTCTGACTAGTCTCAAAAGCAGGCTGAATATAAAGCTGTTATTTGGAAAGAAAAAAAATACAATTAAGGAGCAGCAATATACGGTACCTAAATTTAGAAGATTAGCAGATAAGATCTGAACACACAACAGCAGCCAAATTACAAAGGATGGGATAATGACTCCATTAACTATAGAAATGCTGGGTTTTAAGTTGCAGCTTGTCAAGAACTCAAAATGAATAAACCCTACTTACTTTTCACACAGAAATTTGTATACTTCTTTCCACCATTCCTCACCATTCCACAATTGACTTCAGCTGGTGTGTGTGTATGCGTGTGTGCTCATGACAGCCTCTTGTGCCCTCCATCCTTCTGCAACTGCTACACAATAGCCCTGCAGTATTGCCAGTTAGGTATTACTATTCAGTGGCTGCCGTTGCCACCACCACTACCACCATCTTTTGGTAACCTACAGCCCCACAAACAGGAGTGAAAACTGGAGATATCAAATTAATGGTTAAATCCTGGACCAGCACAACGCACTTCTCCAGCCAATTCCTTGCAAATTTGCTCAGAGTGTAAAGCCAGCTCCCCCCAGTCCTCTGCTTCTCCCTCAGAGTAGGGCACGTTCCTGGCTTTACCAACTCTGGTCTTAAGACTTCCAATAGTGTGAAATCCAAAGGGATCTAGGCAAGTGGAGATTCCCAGATTCTGAGGGTGGCCATCACACACTTGACTCCACTAGTCCAAATTGTGAAACTTTGTTAAAAATATACCGTAAGGAAGAGGGCAATAAGGTTCAACAGTAATATTAAAAGCAAAAAAGAGTCCAATAACTCCAAAAGCAGACTACGTCAGTCCTAATTACTAACAGCACAATTATCTCAGTCTACCTACAAGTGGACAGGAAGGGTGGTCAACTTCCTGGTGGTGTGGAAGATCTGGCCTGGATCCCTGATGGTTAGAGGGACCAAAGTGCCAAGAGCAGCTCAACTTTTAAAAGATCTGTCCCCTCACCTTGGAGGAAGTGACCTTCTGATCAATGAGAGCCAGAGTCAATTTTTCTGAAGTATGTCATATGTCCCAGGTACAGTGGTGCCCCGCAAGACGAATGCCTCGCAAGACGAAAAACTCGCTAGACGAAAGGGTTTTCCGTTTTTTGAGTCGTTCCGCAAGACAAATTTCCCTATGGGCTTGCTTCGGAAGACGAAACGTCTTGCGAGTTCTTGTGAGTTTGTTTCCTTTTTCTTAAAGCCGCTAATAGCCGTTAAGCTGTTAATAGCCGCTAAGACGCTAATAGCCGTGCTTCGCAAGACGAAAAAACCGCAAGATGAAGAGACTCGCGGAACGGATTAATTTCATTTTGCGAGGCACCACTGTAGGCATTCTAAGCACCCTTTTGCATTTGGGATATACATGACAACCTGGCTTAGAGGAATGGTGGAGCCAGGAGAACAGGGTTCTGTGTGACAAGCTTGCATTACACAAATCAACAGCAACAAAGTTACTGAAATAAGAAAAACAACTACAATTTTGTGTAGGATATACTCCAAATTAAAACTGATCCGGACTCTACCTATCAATGTGCATGTGTTTTCCCAAAACAGTGTTAACAATATAGGGAAATAAGTTAGACTTCAGAATGCACAATGCCATCAAGGCAAAACCAGGTCCCTATGTTACTTGGCTGCTCATTAAAAGTTTAAGCCTGGAATTACAACTGAAGGCCATTTCAAAGTCACATTTGCTTCATTAAAGCTGCTTGAAAGTACGGGCAAGGAAACACTTAAGCTTACAGAAATATTTCAAGATAATCAGATTTACATGAATAATTTCTGGACCCTCGTCAATCGGCTTCACAATCTTTGCATACTCAGATGATAAAGATCATAATAGCTTCATAAAATATCACTTCATTAATGCTCTTGTGGGGGGAGGGGGAGAAGGAATTTTAGTACTTCCTCCCCCCGTGAAAAGAATTAACTAGTTAGTCTAAAAGCAGATTTTCTTATAAATTGGCTAAGACTAGTTGGACTGCATTGTGTCATTCCCACAAACCAAGGGGCTAGTTCAAACATCATGACCCACCCCCACCCCTGTGTAGACACTCCAGGAGTATAAGTGTCTGCTGTCAGGATCCTAGCCAGACTGAATTTATTCAGGGGTGCTCCACCTGAGCAATGACTGAAAAGACTTCTACAATGGTCTATAACACTAGCATGGTGCAAAAAGACTGTCCACGAAAGTCTACTGGCAGCGAGTCTGGCAAGAGACTTGCACATTTCTAAAGAATTATCATGTGTGAACCAGCCACCATTTTCCTGAAAATGCAGAATCACAAAATAGGAATAGGCTATTGATTACAATCCAGATTAACAAAAGGTCCCCATTCTTGGATTTAAAACATTTTGATATGTAATGGATGTGCATGGTTCACTATATTGTCATAGCTGATTAAAGGACTCGCATGCTCCTTTAGTCTTCTATGTTATGGACTTCATGGCAGAGTCAGCAAATGTACAGAATGGGAGGGGGTTGTGCATATTCAGTACAATATCTGTATGGAATTTATGCTTCCTTGAACTGTACCCTTGTAGGACCATATCTGGCCGATTGCAAACTCTGGTTTTCCATGTCGACGTTGAAATGACTGCATATGGATTGGGGGCGTGGCATACTGACATAATCCTGTCCTTCCATTCCAACTGGCTGGATATGCTAGCTTACTATTTTAGTGAGTAATAACTATGTCATGTGAACAGAGTTATTGTGTTGCTGCTAAAAGATCTCTACAGAATGATAAGCAAGTACTGAACTATTAGTGATGAGGAGACCAGCAAGATTCCACCAATGGGCAGCCAACCTTCTGAGTTAGCGTGGGAAAGAATAGTAGCACTATAAATCCTGTTTTTAAAAAGGCAGTATATACAAATGCCAAAATTTTCAATGAAGTACTCATTAAGTGCTGTACGATCAATGAAATTATTGCTTCTCTTGACAAACACTACAATAAAGGGCTTGTTCAGACCTGTGGAAAGACAGTGATCCTGAATGATCTGCTGGAATTTTCATCTCTCAGATAGATAGATATCTCTGGAAAGAAGGTCCAAGGCTGTTCAGTTTTAGCCCAGCAAGCAAGCTGTACACCATTCCAAAATCCAGGTGAGAATTCTTGAATCTATACAGAAAATGGAGGGGGTAGGGATGTTAGGCTGAATTAATGAGATCCTGTTTTTTGTCACCTATGAACAGGCACAGTCTTGAGGAGAAGCATTAGCAAAATTCCTGGAAAAGAAGCAGCTGGGAGCATGTGATCCTGGTTTCAAAGGGCAGTGGCAAATCACGTTGGAAGTGGGGAAAGTATGCAAGTGATACAATAACTAGGAAGAGTCCATCGTATTACGACCCCTGAACAATAACTAGCCTTGATTCTGTTCACTACCTTGCTGATTAAAGTCTCAAGCTTTTGAAGATCAAAATGCTTTACTGCTAAAAAAGAATAAAAAATACATCTGTCCACTTATTTTATTGGATTGATAATTAACCCTGTCAGCCCTTTCTTTCATTTCACCTCTACTGAATTAGCATCAGATTGAACTTTGGAGTTCCTTACACACTTACCTGGGAGAAAGCTTTCATAAGAACTGAGTAGACATGTGTTAGCATGAACCATTTATTTCAAGTGCAATAAGAACATATTCAAGAAAATAAATATGTAAGAACATAAATCTATATAACAACCTATGCAAGTCAGGCTAACTTTCTTTCCCACATTTACAGTTTTTGAGAGGCACATAATACACCAATGCAAATATACAAATACAGGATAGGGCAAATACACTTCCTTAAACTGAGTCCTTTGTGCTCAGTGTTTGCTTTCTGAGGCAGCTGAAGCTCTTATCACCTTGTCATTAGCAAACAATCCCACCAAAACAAATATGGTTTGAGTGAAGAAGAAAAGGTCAACTCCACAGTCCTATTGTTGAGCGTGTACATTGATACTGAGCACTTTATTAACAAACTGTCAGACATTTCAGACAAAAAAAGGATATGCTGGCACAAAACCACCACCCTATTCTCATACAAGGGATGTCTTCAGCTGCTCCCTTCCCAAAACACCTTTGCTAAGCTGCTACCATCAGCTGCTTCAACTCTATTCATTGACTCTGCAACAGACTGTAATGCACAATCTCCAAAGACACTGTCCTCTCTGGGGTGTGTGTGTGGGGGGGTGCATGCGCGTGGGTGTGTTAAAGATATGCAAAAACAAGAGGGAGCCTGTCCTTGTTTACATTTTGTAAACAATAAAGTGAGCCTCACCAGCACATGGCATGTCAGGATGTGTACTATATGACAGCTTAGTGTTCATGAATTTATATGCCGACAGGACAACTCCCAAATATTTAAATTCTAGAGACCCTGGGGAAGGCAAGACATAGCACAGGAGAATGACAACTCCAGCAACTGATGCTGAAAAGGCAGCAGCAGGGACAGTGATTGACTAGAGAAACATATCTGGAAATGAGGACTCTCTCTAGTAAACAGGGACAGAAGAACATACATATTTCAAAAAGAAAAATCAGGAGAGAGAAGCTACTGCCCCTGAAATGAAGTCTCCCTAAATAACCTGAAGCCAATATTAATGTCATTTCAGGAATAGACCAAGACTTTCCTTTTCTCCCAGGCTTTTAAAAGGACTTAAAAAAAAAAGTAGTGTAATAGCCAACGTTAGTCATATTTACAGTAATGATTACAGTAGATCCACTGAAATCAACAAGCTTAGGTATGACTAACACTCAATACCACACACAAAAGGTTTAACACTTTAAAAAAATCCTGTGCCCTGTAAAGTGATGCTTGGTTCTTATGTTTATTTGTTTTATTATAACATTTGATGTTTTCATATCATATTATTTAACACCTAGAAGTGACAGGATATGATGATTAACAAATTGAAATAGCAGTCCTAAGTCATCGTATAGTGTTACCCCTAGTTCCTGCTACATTTTCCCCAAATTGCATTAGAACACCCCCCTTTGATAATATATCACTAGTGGAGCAATTTTGCAAATATTATTATCCATATCCATCATTGGATCCAGATCTAGCCATCCTTACTGCAGATGCACAAAAATCATGTAAAAATCTGCCAGTTTCCTACTTTCGTTATTTGTTAAGTGAGAAAAAGCCAAATTGGTGAATAGGTTTACCTGGAATCATACAGTTAGTTTCACACTGAGCAATTCAACCTACAAGTGGTGCTGAAATGTTCTGTCAGAGATTAGAAGAATTTAGATAGGCTCTTCTGACATAAGATCAAAGCACAGCCTCCATTAATTATTTCTGGGCTCAGTTCCTCTCTTCTCTTTCTTTTCATTTAAGAAAACAGCCAGTGGGGGAGTCTAGTCTCAAGGGAGGCAGCCAGATTTTCACTTCCTAGTGCACGTGCTACAGCTCCTTTTCCGTGGAGGACTAAAAGATATTGCCCCATGCATTCAGTGCCAAGATGGCATTCAAGAGCAGAGGGCAGCCCTTCCCAGTGACAATGTCTCCTCCCTCCCATCACTCATCTCTCTGCCTTCACAGCTACTGGACATTTCCCTGCTTCATGCTTTTCAGAAGAAAAGAAGCTCTGATCGATAGAATATGAAACCTGTAGTTTATCCGTCCTGATTTGTGGTTTACCTTCCTGCTATTGATCAGAGATGAGGAGAAAATATGTTTCCACCTTCCTCCCCTCTATTTATGTGCAGTTTAATTCCTTTCTAATATATAACAGGGAATGAGAAACCTATGGCTCTTTAGATGTTGTTGGAATACAACTCCCATAAGTCCTAACTGTTGGCCATGTTGGCTGTGGCTGATGCAAGATGGAGTCTAACAACATCTGGATGACCTCAGCTTCCACACCTCTGAAATACAGAATACACACTATATTTTGACAAACTACTTAGCTTCTGCCGTAGCACAATGTGAACCGTGTGTATCAATCGGGGGGGGGGGGGGAGAGGCTCAAATGTGAGTGGACTTCCCCTGTGGCAGAGGTTTAGAGCCAGAGCCTTGGTCATAATTTTGGATTCTGACAAATACACCAATATAACAAACACACACACATTTTTTTGGTAAATACAATCCACACACTGGGCCTTAAGCCACACATAGATAAAAACCCATTAGAGCAAACAAGATTGTTCACTGTCACAGTGTCTCTTTTTAAGAGAACAATAGCCTGTGTTGCAAGGCAAAAGAGCACTTATTTTGGGAATGGCTGCCAACAAAGCCATTAGGTTTTAGCCCAAACTCCTCAAAGTTTGGAGAAGGAGAGAATGCTTCTACTCTGTAAATACATTAGAGTCAAACAAAATCATGCCATTTTTAAAATGTTGATTAAAAATTAGTTACACTTCCTCACCTAAGAAGTCTCCTCCACCTGTGATGGAAAGAAGTGGCTTAGTGGCACCCCCCACTGAGAAACTGCTGTCCTAAGACAGCTGTTTAAAACAGTTCCTTTAAGGAACAATGTGTCTCATGAGTTGGAACTTACCAAGGATTTCTGTATAATTGCTCCCACAACGGCACTGAAGACTTTTTCTGGCAGGCGCAGGAGTGTGGTGCCGCTGTCTACAATGGCTTTATCCGAGTTGTACTAAACAGGGGAAAGGGGAACAAAGACATCAACATGCTGTAGCAGCAAACTGCAATGGAAAGTCAATAAAAACCGCTCCTTCTGGTGGTGCGATGGCAGAGCATAGGGCCCTCTGTGATGTCAGCTCCTCTCTGTACACCTCCTCCAAATCCCCATTACAGAGGCAGTGACATTTCTCAGCTGCCTTGAGCCCAAGCAGGATTCCCCCAGCATAGCCTAAGCAGAAGTTTAATGGGAAAGCCAGCTCTGACCCCAGGCTCAATTGGTCCTGTGAGATGTATTGTCTGTTGGACAGGATTACAAACATCATACTTCACAGAAGAGTCTCAGCTGACAACCTGAATTTGAACAAGAGGGAACTATTACCGTGTCTAAACTGGATAACTTTGTCTGTAGCAGGTGTGGACAGATTTCAAAGTTACAGGAGCTTACCTGCCTTGGAACCCCAAGTTCCAACACTGGAACTGGGCAAAAAAATAGCTCTGGTGTGTGGGCGTAGGTGTGGGTGTGTAGCCTGTTGGATGATTTCCATACATATCTGAATTACGATACATTAGGGGTTGTAGCACTAAATTCTAAAAATGGGAGAAGAACTGCACAAGGACTTAGTCAGAGGGACGCAGAGGCAGAAAGACAAGCAGTTAGCACAAGAACCAGCCACTGAATCCATGGCAGAAAAAAATTGTTGTTGTTGTTGTTTAGTCGTTTAGTTGTGTCCGACTCTTTGTGACCCCACATATATAATAAAACATGTCACCAGGGCCGTCTTAAGCATATCCGGAGCCATGGTGCAAAGATCCCTCTGGCGCCCCACCCCACCCTGTTTCCCAACATTGTTGACCTTTTCCCAAGCTTCTGCGGGGATCGCTCTCCTCCCACAGAGGCTTGGGAAGGAAGCTGCATGCCCACCAGCCATATGGTTGACGGGGCGCAGCTGGCGGGCGTGCAGAAGGGAAAGAGGAGGCTGCTGACAAAGCCGCACAGCTCCCGACTTGCTGGGGCGCCCCTGAGAGGCCGGCGCCCTGGCGCAACGCGCCAGTAAACCCAATGGGAAAGACGGCTCTGCATGTCACATTTGTAAGACAGTAAGACCAACAGCCCAGTCTTATGCCGGTTTACTCAGAAACAAGTCTTAATCAACTTCAGTGAGGCTTTCCCCCCAGTATCTATGTATATATGATTAATTATATTTCTAATCCATGTTGCTATTGTTGTTATGATTGGTTTTAGTACCCACTCTGCAGTTGGTCAGGTTAGAGCAATATAAAACATGATAGAAATATGATAGAAAATGATTTCAACCTTAGACGTTAAAAAGCAACCACAGTTACTGAGAAGCTGAGTCTCATCATCTAGGAGCACAAAGATTATTTTGCAAAAAAAAAAAATTAGGGTTCTTTAAAGATAATCTGAGGGAAAGGGGGTAAATCTTTACTTTTCTACCTTTAGTTAGCAATAAAAATTGGCCAGACTGGTCAGTTTGAGGGAGAACTGCTTGTAGCAGACGAACCTGCACACCCTCCAACATTTCACAGGCAACACTAGGGATGCCAGAGTACATGACAACTCATGAAAGGATCATGGGAAAAGTCCAGTAGAAAAGAGATCTGGGGAAGAGAAACTGAGGCTAGTAGATGCATGCAAATGAAAAAAAGGCTGGCATCTGCAACAGTGTTTTTCCTCCCATCTACACACTCTAACTTAAATTTGTATACTTTGAAATAAATTCCTTTTCAACACAACTGAAGTATATTTAGGATTCTACACTAATCCAATTGTTCTCCACATTTACCAATTAGCATTTTACACTAGATTTTTGGAATGCAGAGGTGGTCACCCTCTATACATTAATGGACCACAACTCCCACCCTCCCTAACTATTGGCCATGATGGTTGCGACTGGTGGGAGTTGGAGTCTAAGACCATTTCAAGGGCTTTTGCACCCACCAACCCAGTGCTTCTACTAACACCATATTGGCCACCCCTGAATGCAGAAAGATTAAATTGTGCTTCCTTGCTATAAATACCTCTTTACAGTCCAAGTTAAGGTTCTCGCCTCCAACTTCCAATTTGAGTATTTCAACCTGATAATACCACTCTTTCTCAACAGGTGTGTACCAGATTTCCCCATTGTATAGGCTTGGTTCAATTCCACCCAGGACCTGAAAAGGAAACAGTGGTTGCCGCACAATCAAACACACAACAGTAAAGATATAGAGCATGCATGTCCCCCTGTCAGATGGTGCTCAGGGGACTTAAGTTGTATTTACACGCATTTTAAACCCACTTGTTTAACATATGCATTTAACATATGCATTGCAGACCCAGTCAGGTTTTTTTTAGTGAAACTAAATTAAAGCAGTTTTAAAAAATACTTTAATCAGAACATCGCTAGTCTTCTGCTCAGACTTAAGACTGTGTCTTAAGATACATGGGAGAACAGAATTATAGAAGGTATAATTTCAGGTATTACCAGTTATGAGTAATAAACCCAGGGAGGTCAGACATTCTCTATGTCACAAATGCTATTAAAATGACTGAGATGCTTTATGTTTGTTTACCTCTCTCTCTCTTTCTAAAGAGCAAGTCACAGACAGTTTTTAAATAACAGGGAAAAGTTGAAATAAAAAAATTGCCTAGTAGCACCTTAGAGACCAAATAAGTTTGTTCTGGGTATAAGCTTTCGTGTGCATGAACACTTCAGAAAAGTTCTCATCTTTGTACATTGACTAAGCTTTTAACAATATTTCATTGTTAAGCTATTTGGAATAAAGGCTGGCAACAGGAAATAAAAAAAATAAGACAGGAGGAGAAACACAATGCAAGAGTTAGGGCAACTATGATGCAGTTTTATTACTTCTCCCCCTTGTTAAGGTCAGGCAGCAATTATGGGGGAGGAGGCTGGGCATGGGCATAGAGCAAATGCAGATTAGCATGTGTACATTTGTGACCTCCCCTCTCAAATGGTTTTGCCCTATGGTTTAAAATATTGACCCAAACAGTATATCCATACACTAGGCATTTTCATTTAGGAAAACTAGTGGCCCAAGTAACTCTGAGCAGAGCAGAGACTGCTTGTTACACTTGAACTTTATGGGAAGAAAAACCATGAACAGCTGAGATATCACAAAATATATGGGGGGGGGGAAGGCCTCACTGATTTTAATGGCTGTGGGTCACGTTTTCTTACGGAGCTATCCAATGTACACTTACTTGGGGGTGGGCCCCACTGAATGCAACAGGACCCATCTGGGTAAGCATGTATAGAATGGCACTTTTTGTGCTTCTTTTACAAAACAAATTCTATATAGAATGCTGAATGTCAACTGTGAGGGGCAGGAATGGACAAAAATAGAGCATGCAAAGACAAACAAGCACTTCTTAATCCACTTTAGCTAAAAGAAAGAGGGCGGGGGACACAGTTTCTTTTAGGATACACAGAATATATATATTTATGTGACACCAGAAATGTATATCCATTGACATGGAAGTTACAATGAAACCAACAGAACTTTGCTTACATGTTGCTTGGATCTTAAAATCTAAGTTCACACATAATACAGAAATAGGAAACTCCCAACATGAGTGAAGGGTGTAAAGGTGCACACAGTCTTTTCTGTGGTGCTCTGATCATTCTGGGTTGAATGGGAAGGTCTATTACTACATATTCAGGTGAATGTTCTTAGAAGGTTTGTGTGGGGGATTCCAAGCAAGTACACTGCTTGGAATCCCCCACACTTAGAAGCCCCCTCCAGACATTCCCACTCAATGTGAGAAGGTAAGGACTGGGGCTAGAGTGCATGGTCAGGGTGCATAGCCTTTCTCCTCCCTATAACATCTGAATAAGGCTGCACCATCCAAAGTTCTGGATGCTGATTTTACTTATCATATTGTTAGCACAATAGAGCAGATCTTCAAATCCCCACAGGCAGATTTTTTTTATTCACTATTGGAAAAATCAGTAAAAGAAACTTAATGTGGATAAGTATGAGTAATTTATGCATGCTTCTCTAATTTAATAGTCTGAATGGAAAACTGAGTAAGCCACTCTAAATCTGTTTGTTTTGCCTTCTAATGGATATGGTAATTAAAAGCATAATGCAATGAAAAGGGCTGAATTCCAAGTAAACAGGTTTAAATTCACCGCATTACAAAAGTGGTAAAAAGTCACCAATATTTTCTGTTTCAGGCTGGCAGATACTCACAAGACTACCTCCATTGGTACCAGTTCCAGTAACTGGCAATCCAGCTCCACACATCTGTAAGGAAAATATATTGGGGATCTTTGCTTGATTCACAAGGGAATCAAAAAATGTCTCCACAGAACTTGAGGGCTGCAGCAAAAACAAAACAAAGTGTTAACTGTGTATAAATCAGGTGTCTGTTCACAAGAATACCCCTCCTCAGAAAGCATTTTTTTCTCCAATGCCTTCCATATAGAACCCATGTGAATCATTTTGCTGGATAAAATGATTAACTCGTTTACATGTAAATTAATCATGCTGACAGAGATATTATAGTAAACCACTGTTTAATCTAATGATCCATCTGTAGATGTCTGTCAGAAGTTACACCAGATCTAAATCTCTCTACATGTGATGGGATTAAGAGTGTGCCTTACACCTCCTCACTTAACAAACATGCCTGCCTCACCTCCAACACCACCAGGACAGTGTTTCTCTTATATATATTCCAATGCATGTATGCTTATTTTACATGTTAAATTTCCCAGCTAAAATCTAGAAATTGCCCATGTATTCTGAACCAGTATTACTATTTTGCAAGTAAGAGCATATGGTTGGGTATAGGAATGAGACTGGCTTCAGTCTCCTTCACATCGTCTTGGACAGAATTATTCCAGTATACAGCCATACCTTGGATCCCAAATGCCTTGCGAGTCGAACATTTTGGCTCCCGAACGCTGCAAACCTGGAAGTAAGTATTGGAACTCGAACGTCCAATGTGACTTCTGTGGCTTCCGATTGGCTGCAGGAGCTTCCTGCAGCCAATTGGAAGCTGTGCCTTGGTTTCTGAATGTTTCAGAAGTCGAATGGACTTCCAGAATGGATTCCATTCAATTTCCGAGGTACCACTATATATGCGGTGACTATTATAAGGAACTTTGGGGGGTTTCATTTGTCTTCCAGCAACTTGGATGTCTTTAAAACAAGATTAGATAAATTCATAGAGGACAAGGCTGCCTGCCCTGATGGTTATGTACTCCCTCCAGTGTCCAGAGGCAGTTGCTGGGATTCATAGGTGGGCAGTGCTGCTGCTACAACCATGCCCTGCTTCCAGGCTTCCCCCAGGTACCTGGCTGGCCATTGTGAGAATGGGATGGTAGCCTAGCAGGATCACCATATGCTCTTAATGTACGAGTCGGTAGGCAAGCACTCAAATTACCTTAGCCAAGGCATCATAGGCAAGTCCAAGGATCCCATGCCATTGAACACCTTTCAAAAAGAAATTCTCTGACTCAGAGATGGTTACAATGTTGATGGTAAAAGTGCCGTTGATTCCTTTAGGGATGGTAACAACATCTGTGCCGAGAGTCCCTATCCAGCTTCCTTGGGTATATTTAACAGAGACCACAGTGCCCAGTAACTTATATGTGCTTGATCTAAGAAAGGAAGAAAGGGGCACTGAAAACTTACAAAGCAATGCTGTATTGTGCTACATGCTACAAATTATCATCTTACGTGAAATATTTATATGATTTGAAGAGAAACCATTGGCTTCATCCAAATTCTGCCACAGGAAAAAGTGAATGATGTATAAATCATGAAAACTCAAAAAAATTGCACCTTTCCCTCCACATATTCCAAAATGTCACATCAACCAGAGCAATTCCTCCCCATTTCAACTTTCCACTTAAATGTAGTGTACGTTTTTGTGTTTACAGTATAAAACCACCCTGTGATCTTCAGGGTTTATAAATTGAATGAATGAATGAGTAATATTTTGATCTACTAAAAAGACAAAAGAGACTAATGCTTGATTTCAAGTATGAGCTTATGACAAAATGAAACACTTATTTCAGATGTAAACTATATTCATTTTCTTCTAAAATATCTCTTTGCAGAAAATGTCATATATGGCCTCCATTTCCTACATATGATTATGGAATCAAATGTGTATTAGATATACTTTAGCAATATAAGGGTGCCCAACTGCTAGATGGTCTGAGAAGTCTATTAGACGCTAGTCTAAAAACAGAAGAAGGCAGCCAACACTCCATCTATGGGATAATTTTTTTCTCAATACTACTTGCATTAGTGCAGAACATGGCGGCACTGCAAATTTAACATGTTTTGCATTAATGTATTTTTGCTCTAATGTATTTCAGGATTTCCTTTGACAAAAATTGATCTTTGTCTAGGCATTATTTACTATAATTTCAATTATACCACCAATAGCTCCCTTGAGCTTCAAAAATCAATGCAAAAATAACAGTTGCTCTGGGACTTTTCAACCAGCTATAATCCATTGAAATATTCATTCATTGTTGTAATAGCAATTTCATACTGCAATTTTACAACCTGTCTGTATCTTTCTTTAAGCTTATTAAATACATACATGTGCCTAGTAAATAGTATGTATAAACTACAGAGCAACTATTGGCACACTATTATTTTATATCTATATGTATGTGTGTGTAAAAAATAAAAATACAGTACATGGCTGTATTCAACAAAATCATTGCACTAGCAGAAGCCTGTGTAATTATTCACCCTGTGTAATTATTCCCCCATCTTCCCCTTCACATCTACTCCAAATGGGCTCTTGAGGGTCAGGAGAACCTTCAGAAGAGTGCATGGGGGAGAGTGGGAGATTGTTCCATTGGACGAGCAGAAACGTTTGCACTGACAGAACAGTCTCCTTAGTGCTATGTTGAATACAACTCCTGTTCTTTAATTCTGCCACATCAACAGGCCCTGCTTAATGGAAACCCGACTGGCTCAATGCAGCACAGTTATGGCACTAAGCAGCTCAGTGATAAAACTGACATGAACTCCATTGCACTCTTATCATCTGATTTCAAAAGGCTGATCAATACATTACAGCAGAAGTATATTGTGATATTCCAATAGCATTTGGCAGCACGGACACACTTGTTGCTCAGTCAGTGACATAGTTCCTTTAGATGCAAATATCTTTCTTCCAAAAGGGAGGGCAATGTTGGACATGTGAGACACTTATGAGGTTCTGACACACATAATACATCACTAGGGTGTGTGTGTGTGTGTGTGTGTGTGTGTGTGTGAAACTGCACAAGGATACAGCTCTGCAAATATGGAGATGCAGCCTTCCACATTAACTATAGTAAAACAAGGCATACATTTTGTCTGTGTTCCTACCTGAGAACTAATCATGTAATTAAAAACTATGGTTTTTTCCAGCGTTATTTTTGGAGTACTTTTTTGTCAATAGAAATATTGTCAAGATGGAGATCAATACACTTACTCTTTTGTGTTGAAGTAGGAGGTCAGATCTGCATTTGGTGTTCCTGCAACAGCAAAATTGCTACTTCCAGTGTCAACCAAAATATTTAGCTGCATAAAAGAAAAATAATTATTCATGTCAATTACAATATATAGAAAAACCTGGACATAATTTTAGCCTTTTCCTTACTCAAGCTCTAATTATGTAAATCAAAACCATGATTATTATTTTTTCAAACATTTTGTTTTGAGAACTTTTTTGTGTGGTGAAAGTATTCTCAGATCTTTAAAAATTGATAGCGATAAGACTTTTAAAGTATGATTCTGTAATGTCAGTCCCCTCAGATCTATAAACAGATGCCTAGGATCCCACCATGACACATCTTTTCTCATGTATCTATTTTTGTTTTATACATATATCCATTTGCAGTTTATTTATAAAAACAGGAATGAAGTAGCTATGAGCTGGTATTGAGAAAACTAATCTTTTCTGAAGTAGCAACATGAGAGATTTGAGGCAGAAGTACAGGTTAGAGAAAGAAAGTGTAGGGAAATAAGCAGGAAGTTGAAGGAAGCAGGAGAAGTGGAGCAATGATTTTCATTTAATCTGAAAATTAGAAATATTTTTTAAGAGGATCCTAATCTTTGCCAATAGCTTGCTGCTGTTTTCAAGACCTTTGCTGGCAACTTTTCAAAGAGTCATCCTGCTAGCTTTTCAATGAGCAGGTACCTGAAAAAGACATGTACAGTGTATCACCTTTCCTTTCTTTGTTAGAATGATACCTGGAGGACCATTTTTGGACCAAAGAGCATGATGCAGCTCAGGAGTGAAGAACCTGAAACCCTGCAGATGTTGTTGGATTCCAGTTTCCATTACCCACGGGACACACCTCCAGGCCTAATGTAAGTGATTATGCTTTCTAACTTTGATCATTGTTCTTCGTATTTCACTGTAGAAGCCACCTTTAATTTTAATTCATCCCCTTTAGTTCAGGGATGATGAATCTGTGGCCCTCCAGATGCTGCAGCTCCCATCATCCCTGACCACTAGCCAGGTTGGCTGGGGCTGAAGGGACCTGGAATACAACAACATCAGGGGGACCAGTTTTCCCCATTCCAGCTTGAACTGTCAGTAATCAAAACAAGTTATGGGTATAGGAATGGAACTAACAACTCAATGAAACTAGGAAGAATGCATTTTACTAGTGTTAAGGCTAATAAAACACTATCACAGAGAAAATACTTGGCTATTATGGAGTACCCCCAACCTTTGAGAGAGACAGACGCATTTTAAGAAACAAAATGAAAGCTACAGGGATTCTCACTTCCTAACTACAAATAGTTCTACAAAAACTAGGGTTAGTAAATTACCAGAACTGTAAATAATGTTTTTGAACTACCACCCTACAGAATTCAAAGATACTTCTTTTAAAGAGAATTTGACTGCCCATCTTAGTGTGCAGTACAGTATTAATCGTGTCTACTTTTCCAAAGAATGTTCTCCACATAACACAAACATCATACTGTAGAATATTAAAGATGCAGCCCACTCTAGTATGACTAAAATTCACATGACTAATTGCCATTCATTCTAACATTCCATATCTTTAAGAATCTGGGATAACTAGTTCTAGGCAGCTGAGGCAAACACTGACTTATTGTAGTCCATACAATGACGCTAGTTAAGCTTATGGCCTATGGCAATTCTTCCTGGTTTGCAGAGAAAGGTTTGTCGCTTTTTCTTTTTTCTTTTAAAGAGGATATATTACTAACATTGCCTACCAGCCTTGATTACTGAGGATCTGGGGAAATAATTGCAATGGGTGTATGTGTGTGTGTCTAAGTGTGAGACTGAATTTATAACCTTTCAAGAAGCCAAACATTGCATGAATGTTATATAAAAATACAGAGATCAACACTCTAGATATTGTATACATTTTGCAGAGGTGGCAAAGAAAAAAAAACATATTTACATGGCGTTGGGAGGCACAATTCTGGCCTGCTTTGGATAAGTGATGCTACAAGTTCTTTCCACCAGCCTTCAAGATGTCAACTGTGTCGTAGCAACATCATGGGAGGGGTTTTTCTAGGATGAAGATGAAATTGTAATGCTCCCTTTTTATTTTTCCTGTTTTGCATGTTGTTTAAGTAATACTGTTATATTTATAGTACTGGAATGTGGGTTTTTGTATGTTGTTATATTTGCTATTGTTTTGCTGTGTTACTATGAAATTGTTTCTGTATTGTTTGTTTGAAATGCATCCCTGCTTCTTTGTTGTAAGCCACTTTGAGCAGTGTGTGTGTGTGTGTGTGTGTGTGTGTGTGTGTAAAAGCAGCATAGAAATAAAATGAATAAATGAACAGTCCAGAGTCCAAATTCACTGTTGCTAGTACATCAGAACCCAATTTAGGCAGTCAAAACTTTACAACAATAATTGCCGGGGGAAGAGGTGGGCGACAGTGCAGGGCAAACACACACATTCCTACTCCCACCATCCCACCAGTTCATGGGAACATTGTATGTGCATTCAAGCAGGCTTCCTTGATGTTGAAATGACTCAGTTTGTAGACAGCCTTGGATAGGGATTGGCACAGAGCACGATAACAGGCTAAATAAGCATGGTCAAGCACCCCTCTCTTGCTTTTGAATGCCCAAATAGCACTTACACTGAGAAAAGATAAGAACTGCATTCTTCAAACTTGCTGTTAAAGTTTTATAAATATAAATAACAAGCAGTAATGACATTTCAATACAACCCAGAAGAATCCAGCTGTACTTTAATAGTAGAAACTGATAATTCAACACATTAAAATAAATGCAGTGGTTTTAACATATACTTCTTAAAATTTCAAACTAGGTGAGGTAGATTAATATCTGATTTTTCCATGCACCCATCTTAGTCAAATACAATAAGTTAATGCTGGGCTAACACACACACATACACAGTTACCTTCCATAAAAAGGGAAAGCCGAGTATTGGTCTAAGGCTGGCTGGGTTATCTTTGCATAATGATATTTTCTTAAAGAGTGGGTAGCTATCCACCCAAACAAAAACTTGTTATCAAGAAGCATTGTCAATTAGTCAATGCCTCATTTAACCAAGGATAATAACCATCCTTACCACGTGAAACCACCAGCCAGCTTCCTCCAGCAATGCCTCACTAAATTGTACTTTTCCATAGTCACCTCAAGGTGCCAGATAACATGTTCAACTTCTGATTTAAATAAAATAAAATAAATTTGGAATATCTATCCCTTATCATTAGGGTTTGTATTAGTCTTATTAAAGACAGAAACAAGAAAATAACACATGACCATACACGCTTTCACCCAGAGAGAAAAAGCATTTTTTAAATTGTGCATTAAAAGAAAATCACTTAAAATGCACACTTTTACCTTAAAACAGAATTCATAAAATACAGCCATACAAATTCCTTCGCTATCTATGACAAGAAAAACAAGACAAAAACCAAATCCCATTGTTACAGATTTATAGAAGAACTATGTCTTCCGCAAGGTCAGATTTTACAGTCCCATTGTTAGCCTTGCCACGAAGGGAGATGTGGTGAGAGCAACTGAAGGACTGTCTTACAACATAGAGTCCAGGTGCATTTTCAGCAGTAAAAGGAGAACCCCCTCAGCCTGGAAACAGCAGTTATGTGACTAAGGCTACATACACATTAGCAGTTTAAAATGCAGCAAAGCTGATTCCCTCACTGTATTTCAAGTCACATTTCCACAGTGTTGTACACACCAGAGACAGGGCAGGGATGTCCTCACCTGATACACATGACCCTTTTGATCCCCCCCCCCAATTGTGCCTCCCCCCAGCACATGTCTATTCATGACAGTTTACAAAGTGAATGTGGCTAAGTTTTTCCTTTTGGATTGGGAGTTGGTTTGAGAGGAAGCACATCAAACAGCAGTACAGTGGTACCACTGGTTGTGAACAGGATCCGTTCCGGAGGCCCGTTCACAACATGAAAAGCCTGCAACCTGAAGCCCCGTATCGGCACAGGTGCGCGGCACGATTTGGCGCTTGTGCGCATGCACGAGCAGCGAAACCCGGAAGTAAACCTTTCCAGTACTTCCGGGTTGCCGTGGGATGCAACCTGAAAAAACGTAAACATGAAGCAAACGTAACATGAGGTATGACTGTATTTCTGAAGAAACTATAGGGCAGCTCTGTCTGATGTCCACACAACTTCATACACCACTGGAAGCAGAGCAAACAGTAATGTTTGCACAGCCCAAGGCCATAGTCCTAGAAACAAAGAGCAGGAGGTGGCCTTGTAGGCAATCCCATCAACACAGGAAACCCTAAGCTGGAAATCCAGTCCTGCCTCTACTTAAAGTCCTACAATTAAATGGTTTCATCCAAAAGTTGCTCACTTACCTGTAAGTTAGGTCTCACTGAGCATAGTAGGATTAATTTTGAGTAAACATACATGGGATTGCACTGAAAGTTGGGGCAATCAAGAATTCTTTACTGGTGCACCAAGAATTCCAGAAAACAGGTTACTCATTCTGTATCGCATGGAGTTGCACTCGATGACCCTTGAGGTCCCTTTCAACTCTACAGTTCTATGATTGTATGGTTAATTTTCGATCTACAATATGAAAGTGTTAATTTTTGTTTAAGGTAGAAGGTAATCATACTATTTCTGCTTATGTTCCCAGGAGTTCCTGGTACATCTAATCACTACTGCACCCTTAGTCAACCCAAGATGTCATCAACCCAAGATGGCTCAAGGCTGAAATCCTAACCATGTCTACTCAGATATAAATCCTACTGAATTCAATGAGATATGCTCCCAAGTACATGGGGTTAGGGCTGCAGTCTTACCCAAGTTCTGGAAACATCATTCCATTTTCCATTCCAACTTTTTACAATCCCTCCTCTGTCCAAACCTTGTGTGTCAGGATAACATTTCATGCATCTGATAAGACCCTTAGCTTATGAAAGCTCATTCCATAACAAGCTGTAGACTACTGCATACAGCAGACCTCAACACAAGAGGTCTTAGCCAATGGATGTCATATGAGTAATAGCTGTCGTTTAGGCCTCTCTTCCTCAACTTCCTTCTAAAGATCTAAGCCAGTGGTCATC